ATACTGTTATTTTATGGTTATTTTTTAGTTAGATAACTTTAATAAAGTACTTAATAAAACATAAAATAATATATACCTACATATTAACTTGTAAAATAGCTTCACTTAATACGATAATATAAAAAATTGTATTTATATTCAGTAGGTATATAGCTTGTTGACTTAATAACTTATAAACATAGTTATAATGATAACTAAAATTGTATGTAGATTGGTAGTATGCAATAGTTGTCGTAGTTACTTTATGGTGATCCTTACTGATTATGTCATATACTTAATATGTATAAACATTATAAACATTAAACATACTAAAACTTTTTGATCACGTGATCACGTGTATTTAATTGTTGTATTGCCATTCGGCTACTTTATTTCTTTATTTCAGGATCTTCTGCAAATTATGTTGCCATCGTTCAATACAATATCGTACAATCTCTTTCATGTTAATGAATATTCATCAAAAAGGACCAGAGTTTTGGAGTCTAGATGCGAAAACTATATGATATTTTGCCAAGATCCTGAAATCACTGCAACTAAATTTGGTCACGCGATTGAGAGCAGAGTATTCATCGTGACAATTGGATCCAAATGGCAAATACAAGAATTTTTCAAGAGCCAAGCATCCCAAAATATTATGAACTTATTGGTTGCTTCCGCTGGACCAGCCTTACAGCAGGAAAAGAACAAAAATGTAATCGATTAAAACAAATAAAATAACAACTCCGAGAATTCCATTATTAATTTAATTTTTAMTTTTTATTTAAAATAAAATTATCTTAAGAATATAATAAATATACTATACACTGTTGTTAGATTAATATTTTAAAAATATTATAATACATTTTTTGTGTATTCATCTATGAAGTCAAAACTTAAAATTATAGACCTATAATAGTACTTTTAAACAAGTATTATATTGGGTACTCTAATATTATTGCTCATAAGTATAAATGCGCCCACTAATTATTATTTTTTACTTGATAAAGAATAAGAGATAACGAATACTTTCGAGCAGCTTATATTATTTAAATATCTATTAACCAATTAACCCATTATTCAATTACTCATCTASTTCTACTAAATACTATAACGTATTGTTTATTTATAACTCAAATATAACCAAAAACAAATCCAAACGTACTTATATTATACTTTATAGTTTATATACATAATTTATGTTGGTAAAGCTAATACATACTTTAAACATACACAACATTATAACACGAACTCATTTACACATTAAATGCATTATTTACGGATTCCATTAATTGTTATAAATATATTGTATTATTAATTTAGTATTAATGTATTTATATATTTTTAATAGTATAGAATAACCTGCAGAAATACCAATATTCTTATAGGAAGTAGCTGATATCAAATTATACACTCATGAAATGTACATAGATGGTTTAGGAAGCAGCGCTCAAACAATTTTAACCACGTGGAAGCTGAATAAATTTACGAGACCGGAGGTTGATTTGTATCCGGTCAAATTAAATGATGGATTTCGGGGACATCGATTTATTTTGTCTGTCATTGAAAACCCGCCATTAGTATTTCGGAGGTAGTGCAGTTAATCACATATTTTAGAAAATAATTTTTCTGTTTTTTGAACGAATGTGTGTATCTATCATATTTAGTTTATTAAGCGTCGACAAAAACTTGATTCAAGAACATTTTGCATCATCGTGGGACGGGATCGAAATTCGATTGTTACAATTAATCTCTAGAGCATTGAATTTCACATTGGAAATACAGGACGCAACTCTTTCAAAATCCAGGTGAATCTAGAGCAATAATATAATGTTGCTTGTTACATTTAAATCCATTTAAATAATATTGTTTCTCAAGTTTAAACAAAGAATGGCGAATGACAGCTGATATCATATTTTAATTATGAAATTATTTTATAGATTTATAATTAYCATGTCTATGCCGTCTATGGTATAAAAACATAAAATAATAAATAATTTATATATTAATAATAAGTCTTCATTTTATAAACATACCTTTACAATGGACTTGTCTAGAATTAGTGAAACTAATTTAGTTTCTATAATTTACGGCTCTCTAGTCTCTAAATTGAGATTAGTGGCCACCCCTATAATATGAATAACCTAACCAATGTCGTAATTAGGAATTTGTCCTGAAGGTGGGGGATAGATATTTTTAACCAAGTGTTTACCTGTTTATAGATATCTTTATATTCACTATATTAAGGGATTCTGTTTAAATATATTTTGTTGTTATGTTAGCAAACACCTAAAAAAAATGGGCATACGTAAAACTGTGCCAAAATGACTTTTATTTTTATAATCTGAACCCAAATTGTTATCTATATGTTAACTGTTAATATTCATGTTAAAAAAGTATAATGTGCCCCGTTTGTAAAATCACCAAACCTAGTAAAATATTTTGTAATGCTATTAAAAATTTGCCACTGACGGAACATTTACAACTTTACAAGTAAGTGATGTACGTAATATTAAAAGAGATATAATGCTATAATAGAAGAAAGACACTGCCTCCATTCTCTAAATCAATCGAATAAGTTCAATTAATTCTTGACGAACGAAAAAAGCGTAGCGTTACAAATTTTAATTAATAAATATAACAGTGATCAAATTCCAATTGATCAATATGTATCAACAATATGTTTTTTGTCCTGATATTGTACTTTTTAAAATTATATATATTTTTAATTTTTAATTTWATTTYATTCTATTAATTATTTATATTATATGGATGTTACGAAATTAAAGATTGTAATTTTAGATTAGAAATTTATTAATTTAGTTTAATTTTCCAATAACATAGGTACCTATTTCATTTTAAAAGTTTATCCGGGCGCAGTTTACGTGTATGATTTTAGGTTAGATGCGCAGTTTACAATCGCTGAAAAAAATGTTTAACGATATCGATTTTAATTAATCAATCAGTGATTGCCACAAATCTTATTATGTAGTATATACCTATATACAATATACCTAACTATTAATTTGATATATTACTATCTAACATTTGATAACATTTAAAATTAGAAATCAAAAACATCGCTATTCGTTATCGTTATATATTAGTGACAAATGACAATACCTACGATGTGCTATTATAAATTTAGTGGCATATTTAAGGTGAGGGGGAGGGATTGAGACCTACAAGAGAGAAAAAAAGTTACTCATTGTTAATCAATATTTTATCATGGGTTTTCTGATGATTTAACGATACAAACAATTATGTTAATGTGTGGTTTTGTTGAGAAGTATCGTTGCGTTCAAAGTAAGATGAAACAAATAASCTTTATCGTATGATTTTCAAATTTTAAGCCCCCGCCCCCTCAAGAAATTATTGAAAACACGCGCCACTGACTATAATAATAAATAATCAAATATATAAAAAATATTTTTTGGGGGCTTCGACCTTAAAACCCCCTCCTGGATGTACCACTGTTTTATAATAGTATAATTTTGTTCATTTACAGTAGGTAAATATTTAAATTTAAGTATAATATTATAGGTAGGTATAATAGTTTATAATTATAATGTAATTTTACTGTATATTATCTATTTTATAGATTTTTATAGATTTCTTCATAATTTAACAAAATAATTTAATATATAACTTACATGCTTATTTGTTTTCATTAGAGACGAAGCTAACGATCGTATTATTGGAGACTTAATAGCCTCGAAAGCTGATCTCGGAATATCAGGTTTATACATGACCAACGCTCGTTATTCGTCAGTCGATTTTTCTCCTGTTATCTTGCAAGATTGTGGGACATTTATGTCTTTAGGATCATTTGCTTTGTCCAAGTAAACAAATATTGTAATAATAATGACATCGTTGCCACTTGCCTCGCGGTAATATAATATAAATAAAATTCATGGGCGTAGGTAAGGGGGGAGGGGATTGGGTGTTCAAACACCCCCCGAAATTAAATAAAACAATCTAACCTRACCAAGAAAACAAAGTTTTATCTTAAAATTTTTTAAATTTGTAAATTATATGGACAAAATATTGAATTTATATTATAAATAATTATAATTATAATTATATTATTTAATACTTACAAATAAATGATTCTTAATTTTATTATATTAATATAAATTTAGACAAAAACCCCCTCCGAAAATATTTCCTACCTACGCCCATGAAATAAATCAAACGGAAATATACTATATTTCTCGACCCACCTTTAAGACACACACACACACACACACACACACAATTAATACACAAATAAAGCATGAGAAGGTCTTACCTCTCTTACTATACAATATATATCTAAAAAGCATTTTTATTTTTTCATAAACATCAAAACATATTATTTATCAGTTACCTATATTTTTACTAACAAAAATATTTTTATTTAAAGTTCATAGTTCAAACTATACACAAATATATATATATWTTTTTTTAAACCAAAAAATTCAATTACAGTGTCTAAACATGTGTAAAGTTGGTTCCCAACTTTTATTAGACATTGACGCACTTTCACAAATTACTAGGTTCTTAATAAAATGTAACYGGGCCAGTTAAACTATTAACCACTATAATTTAGTGTCTTGCCAACTGTTTCATTATTAGGTGATGATTTTACATTAAAATTACAAATTTTTGAGATTTTTAACTATCATCCCTAACTCATAATAGGTATAGGGCGATATTTGGTCCATTTCATTGGAGCATTTGGGTTATGGTGGTGATCACTTATATGGTGGCCATATTTCCCATAGCTTTCACAAATAACCGCAGTGTGAAGACGCTGTGCAAGAGTCCCAAACAATTGGAAAGCATGTGCTGTTATATGTTCGGGACGTACACAAATCTGTTCACTTTTAAGAGCGTCAAGTCTTGGACCAATACCAAAATGGGATCAACCAGACTTTTTATTGGTGAGTAAAACTGCAGGAGTTTATTACAGCCGTTACAGGTTCGTTATTGACCGTGTATATCGTATATGTATCATGGCTTATTGTATTATTTATCATTACATAATATGTTCAAATTTTGAATTTTATTTAAGTAGTAAATTAGTAAATGATTATTACTATTATGTGTCCGTTGTTCATGGTAGGAACGTATTGGATTTTTACGATTATTATTACGACGGCCTACACTAGTTCAATAATAGCATTCATAACATTACCAGAACAACCGGTGATAGTGGATACATCATACCAGTTGGTCAATAAAGGGTACAGAGTAATGACATTAGGTAAGTAATTGCAGTTTTGTAAAGAACCCCCTATTCAAACGATGTATTCAATTAAACATTTTCGAATTCTTTTTTTCATTGGAATTTCTTTTTTTTACCTAATAGTTACTTAAAAAAAAGTCTATTTCATTACAATAGCTCTACGTATTATTGCATTTTTTTATTCATTGAAAAAATACTTTGTTTCTGAACCCTTAACATTTTTAAATTGGTGAATACACAAATTGATTGCTATAATTATTGTTATTAACATTATTATTTATTGTGGTGTTATAAGCTATGAAGTAATAAATAAAATGCTACTTATTTGTCTATAGGTAGGTATATTTAATGATTTTAATGTGTAGATGTATAGCAAATTAAATTCAAATATGTATTCCGAATATAAAATAAAGTATTCTTTAAAAATACTAGTTACCAGTGGCGCAACTATATGTAAAGAGTTCAAATCTTGGGTATGCTTAACGTGACCATATACGTCCCGCTTTCGAGATAGGTACTTGTCCAGCTAAACAACCTAAAAATATCCCGCTCTAAGAAAAGTCGACTTTTGATAGATATATTAATTGATCACATACCAGTCATATAACAATCATACATCTATACTGTACCTAGTGTACCTATACAGTTTACAATATATGTATACCTACATACTTTATATATACTATACAACATTAAAATCCACAGTCCATAGATTGTTGAGAGTCTATTATGATTAATTTAATTATTTGCGTTTTTTTGTTATCAATTTTTATATAAGCAATTAATGTTTTTTTTTCAATGAAAAAATTATTATTTTACGCAAAATTAAATGGTTATCTCATTAAAATGTACAAGTATTCCGCTTTAGAGAAAAAAAAAATATGGTCACAGTTACGAATAGCCATTTTTTCAGTGTATCATTAAATGTGTTCGATATTTCATCTGAAACAAAGTCATTAGCTAAGTCTGGTAATGATTTCAATCGAACAAATTCTTTAAATATCATAGTTGAGGTACATATTCGATGAACATATAGATATACAAGCAAACTAACCTGAATGGGAATCGTCTAATATTATGTAATTTTTTCACAAAATGTTACGATTTTTAACCATAATTTATTCTGAAAATTCTTTATCTGGTACTTATCTATTCTCATATTATTTTGAAATCACTCATATAGTCATATAATATGTACTAAGTTTATATAATATGATAGCGTTAAAACGGTTTGAAATTAAATCGGTTTTAATTTTTAAACTACATAGGTAGTGCGAACRTCTAATCAATTATCATATAAACATAGTAATTAGTAAATGATTCTTTTAAGAAGACACCACACATGCGGCTGTTGTCTTCGTCTTTACACATAAAACATAGCAAATTTTCGTTCACTAGTTTCAATAGTGTGCTGTTATTTTTGATATTAGAGTGAATTTACCTATTGTTAATTTTTAAAAAATTACTAAAATTATAAATCGACATTCTATGGTTTCCAAATTGTGCGCCATGGCTGGTAAAAATTATAAAAATTTATTAAAATAGGTACCTACATTTTTCTTTTTTGTTAATTTCAAAGTTACACTGCAACTAAAACCAGATACCGCGACCGCTTTAATACGCAGAACCCTGACCTACTCCAACTGTAGTTGTCRATAGACAATAATACACCCTGATATTTCCAAACTAGCAAACATAAACATTAAGTWGACATTTKCATGTCATATTAGTTTACAATATTAGAATATATTTATAATATTAGACACACGCGAGGACGTGCATGAAAGTTGGCACGTATCTGTGTATGTGTGATTTAAGAAGAAAAAGAAACATTGAAAATGTACATTGAACTTACTGCACGATATATAAGTTAATTCAGCTATAGCCCTATTCACACTTATTCACCCAAACGGTTTTTTTTTTTTGGAATGAACATTCGCTCAAACAGATCACATTTTGGATGGATTTGGCAAACGGTTTACGCCTATTTATCCAACACTGATTTTTAGCATGTAATTAGCACACTATAAAATCAGAAATTCAAAAATGCACTCATCCAACCTCATATCCTTAAAACATTTGTGCAAACTTTTAAGTTACATATGTCCCCTACACTTTTAACTTCAAAGCAAAATATAAGTTGAATATATGTTAGTTTTTAGAATAGAATTTTATATTATATTTATATATGTATTTTGTTTCATTATAGTAATAATATTTTCTATCATAATAATAAGAATTCGAAAAAACTATGTTAAAGTGTATAAACCAGAAATACCAGATGAATCATCAAATGGTACTCTGGAAGAAGGAACAAAGTAAAAAAAAATTTTTTTTTGTATTGCTTATTAAATTCTCGGATAAATAGGTTAAGACGAGACTGTGAGATCGTGGGATCCCCAAGTCTCATTTAGTCGGAGGGGTGTTATKAACCCCTGAATATTATTATGTATAATATTAATACGAGTATATATTAGTATGATAAGTAATACGACTGTCAAGAATTGTGTGTTAGCCGACGGCTCGTCGACGTGAATTCACCGACTAAGGGATTTCGACATCCGGCTGGCCGTAGGCCGACGCACAAGAGTGGAGGACAGTCAGTGTTAGTACAGAGCCTTAGAGTAACAGAACGTTCGTAACTGTAAATTCGCTATTCTTATTTTTTTAAAGTCACRATAAACTATATTTATATTTTAAATTACATAATTGTACGTTTTTTATTGTCGTGAACCTTCAGGATCATWACAGATTTTTTCACCACAAAATGTGGAAAATTCATAAATGAAATATTTTATGATTCATTATCTGTATTCAGGAAAAGTTAAGAAAGACGAAACAGATTACTTATTAGTTATTATTGTCTTCAAAAAATGTACACTTAAAGACTAAAAGACATAAAAAAACTATTATTTTATTTTTATTAAATAATTGTCTACCTATAATAATTTAAAAACATAATAACTTAACAACAGAAAAAAGTATAGTAAAAACATAAAATTTCAATTGAAAAAAAAATTAAAACAAAGAAAAATAAATTCAATAATGATATTATATTTAAATTATAATTTATATTTTAGATAAGGGTGGTTGGAAACATTATTTAAATATTACCAATGACACAATGTCTCAAAGGCTCCTGTCAAATATAAAGCTTATGAATAATTTAGAGGATGCAATAGATTACATTGTCAGAACCAGGTTCATATTAGACTATGCTTTTCTGGGTTCTAAAATTTCACTCACTTATTTATCCCAAAACAACTTCATTCAAAAGTATGTACCTATATAAATTTTGAGTGACAAAAATAATTATCAAATATACGGCCAAGAATATTATATTATATTGTTGATTTCAGATACAAAAACAAGAAAATATTTCTTCATGTTGCTTCAGAGTGTTATATTCCATTTAATATAGGTGTAGCCTATAAAAAAAATTTTGTATTTCGTAACATATTTAGCAACTTCATACTTCGAACACAACAGAGTGGATTATTAAATAAAATAATTAAAGATATTGAATGGGAAATCACACAAAAGTCTGGAGTTGGAAATGTGAATGAATCAGTCCATCATATCTTTAAAAAATTAATGTTTCAAATTTTTTTAGCCAAATTTAATAATTGCTCCTGAAGACCGCCAACTTGCATTGGATGATGTCCAAGGCATGTTTGTACTTTTAGGCGGAGGCATATTGCTGGCTACAATCATATTGTCAATTGAATTTGTGAAGCACAAAAGAGAAAAGAGAAAAATTTCACAAATCAAAATTGAAAAGCTTTTGAAGAAAAGAGAGCGCCCTAAATCTTTAACTATCAGCGAAAATAATACRACTGAGCCTTTTAGACCATTAACTGCGTTTTAAAATGACTTGTAACTATACATTAATGCTAACATAAGTAATAAAYAATAACATAATTATTTTTAATGAATGAATATTTCATAACATTTATCACAGACCATTTTAATGTAATCAAATTGATTTAATACTACGTAGAGTTTTCATTAGTTTCAGCTGGATGTTCATCAATGGATACAGCACTAGTTTTTCTCGAGTTCCTAGAAAATCATAGTCATTGAATAACATAACAGAACAATTTAAAACTAAGTATAGAAAAATAATGTTGCACTCACGACTTAGTATATGCCAAAGATGAAGTGGATAACAACATAGACATTTGTTCAGATGAAGGACATGCAATTAATTGTTGTTCTTCTTTAGTGTAACTGTTTGTCGTTAAAAACTGTTGAATTTTTGTAAACATGTGCAAGATATTATTCTAAAAAAAAAAAATATATATATATAAAAATATAAAAATAAGTTAATTATGCTTGGGAAACTTATTTTTATTGATGTACCTTGATAGGCCTGTACAAGACAAATTGTGTGTCTCCATTGGCTAAATACAAGGCCATACTCTGATGGATCAATGGTAAATCTTTTTTGATTTTTGCCAACGATTCTTGTACCTTTTCATGAATAGCTTTAGGTTGGGCAAATTCTTGTTGTTTAACGATAGCCAAGAATCCTTGCATATTACACCATTTAATATACTTTTGAACCTGTAAAAAATATGTTATAAGAAGAAATGTTTGAGAGCATATCAAGCTTTTACAAGTCAAAACATACTTCATCTAAAAACATAGACAATGGTGATACTAATGTATTAGATGAATGATTAATGAATGTTTGACATGACTCTTTTAATGTTTGATCTACTAAACGTCTCGAATCCACAGAGTTTTCTAGCACAACTGGTGTTCCTTCCAGTAGAAATTCAATGATTGAGTTACTAGAGTTTAAAGCAAACATTTTGTCGTGTTTTTGAAATAAACCCCAAGCTAAAAAAAAATTTTTACATAATATATTTTAAGTGAGCAGTTATTAAAATGATGTAAAATGTAGTGTGTAATGTATATGTATTTTAAATAACTTATTTTACCAGCATTTTTCATTTTACTAAAATCCAGGTTCAATTCTTTAATAGTAAAATCTACTTGAAACGGTGCTATTTGTTCTCTGATTATCAACAAATGTTTTATCTCAAACAAAGAGCCATCTGTTGGAGTCTAAGATAAAAAATTTTAATTAAAATAACATATATTTAACACTATGTGACATTTTTTGATTTCTTAATAGTTTTCAAAGGTATGAAAAGAAACTGCCATCAAAGATTAAAAATAATGTTTCAAATAAATTTACCTTTTTTTGAGAAATCATCAAAGCAGCTTGATGTATGTTTTTCAAACACAACGCAACTGCCTCATGAGAAAGACTTTGAAAAATGGTTTTATCAACACATCTATACAAACGTGATAAACACATCAATGTACGCCTCACCGGTGGATACCACATTCCATGAAGATCTGCAGCAGAAGTCCATCCACCTACAAAATTAAATCATAACGTATTATAAGTCCATTGTAGTAGAGTGCAGTGAAACTGTGTTCTTTATTGGAGACAATTTGAAAGTGTTTTACTTACCAGGCTACAAATAAGAAGTATAAAAAACTAATAATTTGAAAAATTAAAGCAGGCTATAGGGACAACTGACTATACTAACTTTTAAGCTGTATAATACATGATAAATGAGTACTTCAAGTTAATTAATGATAACCTTTTAAGAATAGTACATAAAGATACAGATGGACATAGCATAATTAGTTTTAACTTTTATGAATCATGATTTCTTCACAAAATAAAGCAAATTAAGCAGTAGCTTAATGTTAAGTGACAAGTGTTATAGATGATATGACATATTATAATGATTATATAATGATGGGCTGTTGAATATTACATATTATTGTGTGACGTGTGTTGCAWGTAAGATTTATTTCACTAAAGTGTGGAAATAAAGATAAACAATAAACAGTTACAAAGAGCTATGAATACCTACCAGTAGACTGTTTTGACATAACAGATGGTGCCTCAGATACAGATGACACTAAACTACCAGTTGAGTCGTATCTAGTCAACTGTCGATATTGCATTTCTTCAGCGATTGCTTCCATTTGTTTTAATTTTTCTGGATATGCTAAATCACCAGGTGATGGATTGTATTCGGAAATGTCTGTGACAAAGTACAAGTTGGCTCGAAATACTAAACGCTCTTGTATATCTTGTAAAAGTAACTCTGCTACAGATCCAAAAACCTCAAGAGATGCTAGAAAATCAGTTTGTTTTTAACTCCAATAGTTTTAATAAATAATAATTTTTTTTTTAGTTACCATCCTCCGAAACATAGTCTTGTAATATTTCTATTCTTAGGATTGTACAAAGTTCTACTAATGTTTCAAAATGTTTCATGTGAATCACTAATGGTCTGAGCATATCATATAAATGCATACAAACAGTTTCTAGGTATTCTCTATAATAAAAAAGAATACAAAACTTTCAAACTACCAAAATACAAATGGAAATATTAATATATAAATAATAATAATAATAAAAATAATAAAAATATTAAAATGAATAAAAATATTTAAAAATACATTTTTGTATCATGACATACCYGAATACTGAAGATTTATTTGTAAAGAAACATTGATACAATCGATTTTCATCATGAGTCAATTGTATGAGTATTTTACACGATGAACGTAATGTTGAACAATAATCACTCCCACTTGATGTGTAGTTTGACAGTGTATTACTGATGGACGAACCAAGAAGAGCTTTTCGTCGTGTCACATAGGCCAGYACACAATCTTCCAATGCAACAGAATATCTAAGAACATAAATTGAACATAAAGATGTTATATTTGGATGGCTAATCTAATAAGTCTAGTCAATGAATTAAGCAGCAAACATACACTGGATCCAAATCTATTCGGTTTTCCAATAATTCTAACACTGGTCGTACTTTAGTCGCAATTGCTTGAAACTTTCCATAGTGTGCTATAAATTCAGCTGTGTCTAAACTTTCTGTTCCAGTCTGAAGACATTGAGTTATATAAGTTTGAACAAGTGATAGAGCCTTGTACCTGGCATTTACATACAGAGCAAGATATTTATTGCTCTCTTTATATGACATCTATGTAAGGCAAATATGTAATAATATATTGATTGATAAATACTAATAAAAAGCTAATATTATTATTGTATATGCAATATAATATACTCAATGCTAATAATGATGATTTAACTATACCAACATGAGAATTTAAATATTTAATTCCGTTATCAATGGACATCATCATGTTAGCAAACATTTCACTAGTGACAATAAATGAAGGTGAATCCAATTTCAAGTGTATAGAGTCTGCAGCATTGAAGATGGATAAACGTTCATTGATTTCTTGGCATATGTTACTCAAACTTGTCTAAAACAAATATGTAAATTTAATTTTTGCTAAAAATTAACTGTACTAATTCTTAAAACCTGATCTGTATGTAGTTCTTCTCCAGCTAAATATAAAGAGTTTGTTTTCTTTGAAACTTCACTGTATTTTTCTTCCAACATACTAATGAGCTGCATACACTCGTCCATCTAAAAATGACTTATATACTATTATCTTTGCTGATGATAAAGTCATATTGTCAGTAGGTACATAATGATCTACTAATTGCTTTAAGAAATTTACAATCCCACTTAAATCTACTCTCAGAATGGTGTGCCAGATGGAAAATTAAATTAAACAACAACAAATCCATTCACACAACTTTCACCCTRAGACACRGACTTTGCCCTAACGTAACTGTAAATAACGTACCTATCCCTGCTCTTGACACTGTTAAATACTTAGGACTAAACCTCGATAAAAGATTAACATGGCAAAATCATATAAAAAAAAAAAGATTTATACTTAATGCTCGCTACCGTTCTCTAACAGTATTACTTTCTAAAAATAAATTCACATCTTTAAAAACAAAATTTCAAAAATACAAATCACTTCTGAAACCCATATGGACGTATGAAATCTAACAATGGGGAACGGCTAAAAAATCAAATTTAAATAAAATACAGGCCTTCCAAAATACCTATTACCCTTTATAAAATCACAAATGTCCCACCCTTCGTCTGTAACATGACCCTCCACAAAGACCTAGGTATAAAAACAGTAGAAGAAGAAGCTATTTTCTAAAAACAATTTTATAATAAATTAGAAAATAATGAAAATCCTCTAATAAAAGGCTTACATATCCCGTCACTTCCTGGAAATCCCAGTCGCAGGCTGAAAAGGAAATGGTGTAGGGATCATCTAACTTAATCCTAATAAGATTTAAGTAATCACATAATAAACAAGCTAAGTATTACTGATGGGTGGCTTCTTATTCACGTAACCCCATAATGTTTTGTTACCCTAATGTCACATATACTTATTGTGCTTAATTGTATATACAATATTTAATAGTACATTTCTTGTAAAAAAAAAATATATATATACTATTGTCTATCATTTATAGCCTAAATAACTAATTTTACATCAGTCATATAACAATATAATAATTGTTTTTACCTTGGATAACATTAATTTCCACTCGTCCAGCTGATTTCGTAGTTCATTTGCAAGCTGTATACATGGTTTAATTTCTGTGGACATCCATTTTTGTGCTATCTCGTAATAGAAATTATGAAACTATGAAATAATTAATATAAAGTTATAAAATAAAACTAAACAAAAATKACAAYTAGGAAATTTAAGTCAGTAACTTGTGTGTAGAAGGTTGAAGATCAACTTTATTATTAAATTCTCCCAAGCACGACATTTACTTTAGTAACATGGTTAAACTGTTATTTAAATTTATATAATCATTTAGAGTTTAGACATTCAGTTATATATTTGAATAATTGAATAGGAGAAACAAATGGGAAAATTACCTTTATCCCCCCCTCCCCCTCCTTCACAAACACACACACACACAACAACTCAATCTAAAACATAATAAATATATAATAGTTATGATAACTAGAGTTATGAATAAATGTACAATTAAATCCTATAATATGAATATAAGAGCATAATATTTCACATTTGCAGAATGATTTTGCATAAAATATGTCAAAAATAGTCTAAGTATAAGTTTAAGATACCTATAATTTATAAAACAAAATTTTAAAACATTTAACTACTAATAAATACCAAAAATCAAAAAAAATTTAAATTCATTCTTATATAACATTTACACAAAGTATTTTTAAAATACAGTATTTAATGAAATAATATGCTGAACAAAGAAACTAAACAGAAAATGAAATTGTTGGTATTATACAGCATGACACCTACCAAGTACCCGATTTCAAATTTGTAATAAAAAGAAAAAAATATGTTAATACTTTAAATCCATAGATTATAATTAGATACATAATTATTATGATTATAATTTTTAACACACTATAATTATGACATGACTAAGAAAAAAAATATTCGTCTTAATCGACACTTTATAATTTTTGAACTTAAATACAAACATAATTATAGTCCTTATTCATTGTTTCTCCAACCTAAGATTCCAGACTAAGTAAATGCAAAAACTAATACTCACATCTTCCGCAGATTCTATATTTGTATTTAAAATTTGTGGCTCTTCATTAATATTTAGTTTATCATTGTCGTGGTCTTTGATTTCAAAAGACTAAACACAAAATTACATATTATATAGCTATCAAAACAATATAATACATCATTTTCAAATAATGTACAACACATACCATAAAATCACTATCGCCTATGTGTTCAGACAAACTCAGATATGCGTCGATTTGAGACTGACTTAAAGGTGCCAATGGGTTCTTTTCAGCCTCCCATCGAATCAATGTATCAGATATTCGTCCTGACTTATTGTTCGCCATAATTCAATTTGAAATGTTTGTATRAACTAGTAGCAATAGTGCGATACACAAAATGTCAAAAGCCTAGTGGTATGTAGAAAATGTAATTTGTTAGGAACTAAAATTTAATACTCTCAACTATTAAATATCTTAACTAGATATATAGCAATTTTATTTTAATATGACTATAGAGTCAATGATAGGTGCCGTGTCGAGTGCCGACGTAAACAATTGTTATCAGTTATCAACAATTGGTGTGATAAAAATGTATGATTTGATAAAGTGAGATATCACACTACCATAGATAATAAAAATATGGATAGGCCACGACTATGTTAATAATATATTATTTGAGGCCGCGTTTTTGGAGAGGMAGGCATTGAAGCTCTTTTAGTCTTTTATCAATGCTTTCATATTGATAGTCAACACTCAATATAGAATACCAATTATAGATATACCTATTTGGCGGCTAAGACTGTTTTACAAGTGGATTAGTGGATATTTTAAATTTTATTTATATTGATATTACTTATTTCTTATAATACGGTAGCCGGTAAGTTGAATTAATATTATAAAATTACAACAAAATAACTAAAATCATTGTTCTTAGTTATTTGATATTTAATATTTATTTAATATGATGTGATTTCGTCAAAATTTGATCATAAAATAATATTATAAAAATAACCGTAGTGTGCTTATATTTTTGAGATTTTTTGGTTACAAAATAACCTACTTATGTGGAACCATGTTATAAATTTTCTATCTTTAGCTATAAAAATTTTATTAATTTTTAACTACTAAATAACTTGTAAATTTTCAACTTGATAAATTTTGTAAAAATTCGAACTTTAAATGCTTATAAAAAAAAAAAATCGTACATATTATGAATTTTTAATATTTTTCAACTGCTATTGTAACAATATATCAGGAGCCTTATATTAAATGTTCACGCTTTTTGGGCCAACA